AAAAAAAAAAAAGGGACGATTTGTTCGGTACACATGCGTGTAGTGAAAGACCTATACCGAAGATTTTTGGTACGAATACATGTACCGTTACACCCCTAATAGATAATATTACTATGATTTAAATATAATTACTTCAAATATACATTTCAATCAGTCATTATTGCACAACAGAAAAATAGAAATGTACTTATAAGAGTGGAAAGAAAGACGTAAATGAAAATTTAATTACCCAAAAACATTGTAAGTGAACCTCAGGGACAAAGATTTTAATATAAGAATGATGCATAAAACATTTGTGACCCTGGAGCACAAAACTTACAGTAGGAAATTTACAAAAAATCTTCACGGAACATGATCTTTACTTAATATCCTAATGATTTTTGGCATAAAAGAAAAATTTATAATTTTGACCCATACAATGTATTGTTGGCTATTGCTACAAATATACCCCAGCGACTTAACACTGCTTTTGTGCTGCAGGGACACAAATTACTATAATTACTTTAAATATACATTTCAATCAGTCATTATTGCAAAACAATCTTCTCAGAGTGAAAAGAAAGAGCTAAATGAACATTTAAATTACGCAAAAACATTGTAAGTGAACCTCAGGGACAAAGATTTTAATATAAGAATAATGCATAAAACACATGTTGAGTGATATTCTCTCTCACCCTGGCAGTTTTTGAGGGTCACGGCGTCTCCGTAGAAGCCGTCGGCGCAGCGCTCGCAGTGCAGACCCGCCGTGTGACCCAAACACTTCAGACACTCTCCGCTGCGTCCGTCGCAGTGACCCGCTTCAGCCGGATCCACGTTACCGTTACACTCACACGCCAAACACCGCTGGCCCGGCTCCGCGGGGTCGCCATAGTAACCGTCAGCACACCTGAGGACCATTCATCAGTAATCAGTGATTTTATTGGTGCAGGAATATGAAGCTCAGAATAAATCAAGGATCAAACTTCCTCATTAGTCCTTTACCTCTCACACTTGGCTCCGGCGTATCCCAGCTGGCACTGATCACAGGTGAACTCACCGGCACGCTGCAGCACACACGTGGGGCTAAAACTACAGCACACACATCAATCAGATATTTCACACAGTTTCATAGGGGCTATATATTTGTATCGATATATATATATATATATATATATATATACACACTACAGGTCAAAAGTTTGGGATCAGTAAGACTTGTAATGTTTTTAAAGAAGTCTCTTCTGCTCATCAAGGCTTCATTTATTTGAT